TGTATAACTCCTCTGGAATCACCTTCATAATAACAATTTTTATTTATTTATTTATTTAGTTAGTTAGTTAGTTAATCAGTCCTGGGGCTTGAACTCAGGACCTGGGCACTATCCCTGAGCTGCTTTTGCTCAAGGCCAGCACTCTACCACTTGAGCCATGGCACCACTTCTGGCTTTTTCTGTTTATGTGGTACTGAGGAATTGAACCCAGGGCTTCATGCATGCTAGGCAAGCACTCTACCACTAAGCCACATGGCCAGCTCATAACAATTTTTTTTAAGCCAAATAAGTAAAAAGTGTGAGGCTCTGAGTTCAAACCTTAGCACTAGCACACTGGCGCACACACACACACACACACACACACACACACACACACACAAATTAACACAAAAATAGGAAGTGTTAGAGAAAATATGGAGAAATCTGAATCCTCATGCATTGTGGGTAAGAAAATAAAATGCATGGCCTTGGTGGAAAACCATATAGTGGATTCCTAATAGTTAAACACAGAATTATCCTGGGGCTGGGAAGGTAGCTCAGCGGTAGAGTGCATGCCTTGCAAGCATGAGGCCCTGGGTTCGATTCCTCAGCACCACATAAACAGAAAATGCAGGAAGTGGCGCTGTGGCTCCAGTGGTAGAGCACTAGCCTTGAGCTGAAGAGCTGAGGGACAGCGCCTAGACCCAGAGTTCAGGCCCCATGACTGGCAAAAAAAAAAAAAAAAAACCCACAGAATTATCCTATGTCCAGCAAATAAACCATTTGTGCACCTATGTTCACAGCAGCATTATTCACCATAGCCCAAAGGAAAAACAGCTCAAGCATCCATTGCCAGATAAGCTGATAAGGAATATTACCCAGCCTGTAAAAGGAAGGAATTTCTGACCCAGGCTACCACATGGATGAACCTGTAACAGCTCATGCAAGTGAAACCTGCCAGTCACCGATGGATAAACGACTCCATTTCTGTGAAGTTCAGAGTATTCAAATTCATAAAGACAAAAAGTAGAAAATTCATTGCTGAGAGTTGGGGCTAGAAAGATGGGGGGGGGGGTGGTTCATGTTTAAGGAATTCAGAGTTTCAGTTGGGGAAGAATGAAAAGTAGTGGGCAGCCACACAACAACACAAAGTTACCAGAAGTCTATACCTAACAATGGCTAAGAAAGAAAGTTCATGTGAAGCTTCACAAGTTTTAAAGACATCTCTATGCTGGATCAGTGGCTCACGCCTGTAATCCTAGCTACTCAGGAGGCTGAGATCTGAGGATCACAGTTTGAGGCCAGCCTGGGCAAGAGAATCCCTGAGACTCTTATCTCCATTTGACCAGCAAAAAAAAAATCACAAGTGGAGCTATGGGGCAAGTGGTAGAGCGCCAGCCTTGAGTGAAAAAGCTAAGGGACAGTATCTAGGTCCTAAGTTCAAGGCCCAGTACCAATATTAGAGAGCGAGGGCATGAGGTAGGGGGAGGGAGGGAGGGGTTGGACTTGGTGGTGGCCTCAGCCAGGCCCTGCTGTCATCTGGCAGGAGCCCAGCTCCTGGGAGTCAGGGAGGGGCTCAGCAGACAGTGGGTGTTGTATGCTAAGCAGGGACCCCCACTTCCTCCGGTGCACATGAATGTATCAGGCCTGGTTGGGGGGGGGGCTCTAAGAGAATATGGAGAATGGAAGGAGTATGGGGGTGGGAGGGATGTATCCTCACTAAGGTCAACTCCACCGTTTCTGGGGGGTCCTGAGACCAAACCCAAAATCCTGTCCAACCAAGGCCCACGAGGGCAGAAGAAGCAGAACCAGGAAACACACTAATTAAATAATACAATGAAAGCTTAAATTTTCCAAGTTAATTCCTGGGTATCATTTATAAAAGTTAACAGGGCATATTTAATTTAGGAATTGGCTCCCGTCCCCCTTACAGCTCAAACCTCATAAATGAAATATACTGGATCGTTGCCCGGGACGGAAATAAAAGTTATGAATAATGTTTCCATCTCAATCATTGTCAGCGTTTTAATATCCCTAATTACTTTAAAAAGCTAGATATTCAATATACGAAACTTTTTTTTTTTTGCCTTTTTATCTCCACTTGTGAGATGAGGGCAATTTAATAAGAGTCACTCTCATCTTTATTCAGTATAAACTGACATTTCATCCTTTTTACTCTTTATTATTCTATGGGATGGAGGAAGGTTTACGACCAAACATACAACTATTCCATTTTCCCATATTGCGCAGGGAAAAAGCTCAGAACTATCCACAAAGCCAGTATATCCTGCCTTTATTGAACAGAAAGCAATCAGTCACAGCCTTAAAGAAATTAGGCTACAGGATTTAAGGGTGTTGATTAGTTTCGTTTTGTCAGTTGTGGGGCTTGAACTCAGGGCCTGGGTGCTGTCCCTGAGCTTTTTCACTCAGACTAGTGCTCTACCACTTAGAGCCCCAGCACCACTTCCGGCTTCCTAGCGATTATTTGGACATAAGAATCTCACAAACTTTCCTGCCTGGGCTGGCTTCAAACCAAGATCCTCAGATTTGGGCCTCCTAAGTCGTGATGATTATAGGAATGAGCCACTGGCACCTGGCTTGGGATTTCTTTAAAAGAACAGAAAGTTCCCTTACGTAGGACTGTCCAAGTTATAAATCCGTTGGCAGCTACAAAGGGCAGGGCAGGCAGGTAACGGGATGATAGATCCTTCCACTTCCAGGAATTTATCCTCAGGAGAAACTGGAGCAAGCAAGGAAAGATCTATGCAGAAGAAGAATGACTGACACATTTTCACTCAGGGTCACTGGCTCCCCCTTCCCACATCTGTAACCCAAAAGTTGTGGAAAAGTCCAAAAAAGATATCTGTGCCGTTTAGGAAGTAAATCTGCAAAGAGTAGCTGTGGGGCTATGTACTGTCATTGTGTCACTAGACATCATCCCATGCCACTTGAAAATATTACTGCTGGGGCTGGGAAGGTGGCTCAGTGGTAGAGCGCTTGCCTTGCACCTGAGGCCCTGGGTTCGATTCCTCAGCACCACATAAGCAGAAAGAAAAAAGCCGGAAGTGGCGCTGTGGCGCAAGTGGTAGAGCGCTAGCCTTGAGCTGAAGAGCTGAGGGACAGCGCCCAGGCCCAGAGTTCAGGCCCCACGACCGGACCCAAAAACAAACAAACAAACAAACTTAAAGCCTAATATGATTTAAAAGAAAAGAAAAGAAAAGAAAATATTACTGCTTTACCCCTGGGGCAGACCAGATCTTTGTTACTGTTTCCACGTGCACTTTGAAGTGTGACACATCCCAAATTCCAAAAGCCACAGACCCCCAGAGTCTTGGATAAAGGATGGTATGGGCTCATAAGGGGGAAGACTCAGCCGGATGCCTGTAATCCTAGCTACTCAGGAGGCTGAGATCCGAGGGTTTGTGGTTCAACACCAGCTGGGACCGGAAAGTCTGTGAAACCCTCATTTCCAACTAATTACCAAAAAGCCAGAAATGGAGCTGTAGCTCCAGCAGTAGAGTAGCAGCCTTCAGTGAAAAAGCTAAGAGACAGGGCCAAGGCTCTGTGTTCGAACCTCAGTGCTGGCAATATAATCATAACAACAACAATAGGGAAGACTCAGAAACAACCTAAATGCTCACCAACCAAGGGTTAGTGAAATGTATTTGGTAATCTACAAAATGAAATTCTACAGGCCATGAAATACTTAAAGGAGATTAAAGTGCATTGATGAGAAAACTGAGAAACTAGTTATGGCAAGCATGTTTACTCCAAAGCCAGCTCCTTTTGAACTGTGCAGAGCAATGACAGAAGACCAAAGATCCAAGGCCACAGGGATCATCTGAGGGTGAGGAAGGATCCCCAACGTTTTTGTCTATACTCTTGGTATTCTTTGACTTTTCTTTTTAACATGAACAGGTATAACTTAAGAATCAGAGAAAGAAGCTGGGTATGGCGGTTCACTCCTGTAATCCTAGTTACTCAGGAGGCTGAGAGCTGAGGATCAGGATTCAAAGCCTGGCCCGGAAAGTAAAGTCTGTGAGACTTAGTGTCTCCAATTAATCACCAGAAAACCGGAAGTGGAGCTGTGGCTCAAGTGGTAGAGTGTTAGCCTTGAGCAAAAAGAGCTCAGGGACAGCTCCCAGGCCCTGAGGTCAAGCTCCATGACTGAAAAAAAGAAAAAAGAACTCAGAAGAGAAGGGTTTGGAAGGGAAGTAATGGTGGTCCTTTTATTTTGCTTTGCTTTTTAGTGGTTCTGGGGATTGAACTCACCCCCTTGTTTGCTAGGCAAACGTTCTACCATTTGAGCCACTCTTCTAGCCCATAAGTTCAGTCCTAGGACTTGAATGGCACCCTCTTCCCTCCCAAAAATGTCACTCTAACATCTCTGGAACAGGCCAGAACTTACCTGCACGAAGGGGTCAAACCTGAGAATATTTGGAGAAAATGAGCTAGAGAAAAAGGATTTGGCAAAGAATTCCCTGCAGCTACCAGCTGGTCCCTCACGCTCACCAGCCCCATAGTAAAGATGACACCCCCTGACTCGGTCCAGAGTAGATGTTCCCCCACCCTCAACATACGCATACCTGCGCACACCAGGAAGGCTCCTTTGGAGAACATTCATGCCCAGAGATGTAGGGATGCAGCACCCTGTCCCCAGAAGTGTCCCACTCTCTTGGCTTGGGGGACAGCAGTCCCCCTTGGGCCTCTATGGGTGAAACTGAGCAAAGAACCAGACCTACCCACAATAACCTTCAGTTCCAAGCCAGGGGTGGTATTGTCAAGTTCACGGTCAACTCACAAAGACCCGATCGACATGTCTGCCAGCGGAAATCCCACAATTCCCATGAACCATTCACGTATACCCATCCCCACCTGTGTACTGCAAGCACCATCGCACAGTGCCCGAAGGTGGCCATGATAGGTCAATGTGTATGTCATAATCCCTGCCAAGTCAGAGCCAGTGGTCCATGGACCACCCCCTCTCCCCACTCCCAAAGAATCCAGTTCCCAAAACTCACCGCTGGAGCAGTCGGGACCTCCCCAGCCTGGTTCACAGTGGCAGGTATCCGGTGAAACGCAGCGGCCGTGCATGCACTCTTCCGTGCACAGGGCTAAGGAAGGGGAGGTAGGGAGGGCAGGAGGAAGAGACAGAGCCAACAGTGAGAACAAACCATTTGGGCAGTAAGGAGATCCCCCTTTTTATTACAGATCCCCTTCTTGCTAAGGCTGATCAGGACCCAAGACCTGTGTGGGTGTGGGAGGAGGTATGTGAAACTCAATTCACTCTGAAATAGATCTGATAAGAATGTATTACGAGCCGGGTGGCTCACGCCTGTAATCCTAGCTACTCAGGAGGCTGAGATCTGAGGATCGCGGTTCAAAGCCAGCCTGGGCAAGAAAGTCTGAGAGACTCTTATCTCCAATAAAAAAACCACTAGAAAATCAGAAGTGGTGCTGTGGCTCAAGTGGTAGAGCGCTCACCTTGAGCTGAAGAGCGCAGGGGCAGCACCCAGGCCCAGAGTTCAAGCCCCACGACCGACAAAAAAGAATGTATTACGAGCTTGGGAATGTGGCTTAGTGGCAGAGCGCTTGTCTAGCATGCATGAAACCCAGGGTTCGATTCCTCAGTACCACATACACAGAAAAAGCCAAAAGTAGCCCTGTAGCTCAAATGGGAGACCACTAGCCTTGAGCAAAAGAAGCTCAAGGACAGTGCCCAGGCCCAGAGCTCAAGTCCTAGGACAGGCAAAAAAAACAAAAAACAAAAAGAAGTATTATATCCCAGTTTCACATCCTAAAAACAAAACCCAACTACCTCACACCAGTGGCTCATACCTGTAATCCTAAATACTCAGAAGCCTGAGAGCTGACAATCACAGTTCAAAGCTAACTCAGGCAGACAAGTTCAAAAGATTCATATTTCCAATGAACCAGCAAAAACCAAAAAGCCAGACCTATGATGCCAGTGGTAGAGCACCAGCCTTTTGTGGAAAACGCTAAGGGATGGCACCCAGGCCTTAAGTTCAAGACCCAGTAGCAGCGTGCATACACACACACACACACACACACACACACACACACACACACACACACACACACAGAAACTGCCACCAATGTTTAAACCTGCATTCCCCCACCCTGTAAGCCACAGCTCCCACATCTATATTCACAAGCTCTTGTCCCATCTTTTGCTTACCCTAATTTCCTTCTGCAAAGCCCCCCCCGTGCCCCGCTCCCCACAAAATGTGCCAGCCTCCCTTAAAAGAACAGGCACTTTGCCCCCCTCCCTCCTCCCCAAAATGTCCCTATTTTAGGGCTTGTAAATGTCAGCAAATCTGCAAAGTATACAAATGCTGAGGGGAAAGGCATAGCTAATTATAAGAAAGTAATTAAGAGAGACATCCATGATGATGATAATTGTAATTAGAAAGCGTCTGGCAATTTCTTATCATGCAGTCAAATGCTACAGCCTCCCAAAGCCAGGAGGCTAAGCAATGAGCAAAGCTCCCATCCACCCGCACCTCGTTGGCTGGCTGGCTAGCGCACGCGCTCCTGGAGAAGGTATTATTGACAGCAGGGTGAAGAAGGGAGATTATTTCTCTTCTTTTGACAGAATCCACATTTTCTCAAGGTCATCCTTGCTCCTGAGAGATCTCCCCTACCGTCTAGAAGGATTACGGCAACTCTCTACCCGCAACAACTTTAGGAACTCAAGATATTGGCATCTCCCATTAACCCTGTCCAGGTTTTTATTTTGCCTTGTTGTTGTTGTTTTGTTTGGCCAATACTGGGGCTTGAACTCTAGGCCTGCGCACTTTCCCCGAGGTTTTGTGCTCAAGGCTAGCACTCTACCACTTGAGGCACAGCTCTACTTCTGGCTTTTTGGTGGCTCATTGGAGCTAAGAGGGTCTAGGATTTTCTTGCCCAGGCTGCCTTTGAATCACAAGGGTCAGACCTCAGCCTCCTGAGTAGCTAGGATGACAGGTATGAGCTGCTGGTCCCAGCTAAACCCTATCAGTTTCTTAGCTGGGATCTCCAACAAGGAGATATATATATATATATATATATATATATATATATATATATATATATATATATATATATATATATATACAAATATATATTAATTATATATATATATATATATATATATATATTAATGAAGCATCTAGAGACCTTTTTTCTGCCCATTGTGGCCTGGACTGGGGAGCAGTTGGCCCCCCGGAGGGAGTTTGGAAGGGCTACTTCAGTGCCAAAGTGCACCTGCTTGCTTGAAATGTCCCCGGGGATGGCACTTGTCAAGCGAGACCTCAGCCCTGTGTGTGGGTGGCGTGGCGTCCTCCAGTTGCTCCTCCACATGGCAGCAGCCCCTGTAGCCGCTGCCTGAGCTTTATGCCGGCCCCCAGATGAACTGACACCCCAAGCCACTTCAGACGTACCAGTCAGGGGTCTGAAGTCAGTCGGTCTATGGCAGGTGGTATCTAAAAGAGCATGAAGCTGTATAGCAAAGGTACCAGTGGCTCACACCTATAATCCCAGCTACTCAGGAGGCTGAGATGGGAGGATCGTGGTTCAAAGCCAGCCCTGGCAGACAAATCTATGAGACTCCTATCTCCACTGAGCCAACCAAAAAGTCAGAAGTAGAGCTGTATCTCCAGTGGTAGAGTGTCTGCCTTGAGTGAAAAAGAAAGAGTGGGAAGTCATGAGTTCAAGCCCTAGTCCAGGCACACACATAAACAAAGATATGCCATTGATCCAAATACTTTGCGAGGGAGGGCTTTGTCAAAGAACACAGCACTGGGATTGGAGGTGTAGCTCAACTGGTAGAGCGCTAGCCAATGAATGAAAGGGGCTGACAGATACCAAGTCCTGGTCTCGAACCTGGGGCCACAATAAAATACTTACTTTGTGCTAGCAAGACCCTAACCAGAAACCCCTGGTTTCCCTTCTTCCCACTGGACTTTGCAAATAAGTTCATGCGGGCCACTGCCCCCAGGACATGCTGGACACTAGTTGTCCACTTTCTCTTTCCCACCAGAGGCCAGCGTCTTGGTCTATCAGCAACAGCCCTGGCCTGCCCCCCTCCCACCAGCCCCTGCATGCTCCAGCTAGGTCTAGCTGCATTACAGCTTATTAGATTAACCCAGTTAGTGACAACTCCAACTGCTCACTTTCTGACTGTAAGACCTTGTGTGTGTGTGTGTGTGTGTGTGTGTGTGTGTGTGTGTGTGTGTGTGTGTGTGTGTGCCAAGATGAAAGAGCAGAGCAAAATGTCAGGGCTGGAAGAGACCTCACATCCAATTCCTTTACTTTATGCACAGAGAAACTGAGACTAGAAACCTCGTATGCAACATGGGGCCCATAGCTAGGAAGGGGGAAGCTTGAGGATGAGGCTGTAGGGGACAGCAGTTGCTGAAGGCATGGACTAGGAGAGAGCCCAGACTGTGGGGTCTTGGTGTGTCCAGGATGGATGTCTTTAGATGACAATGGTGCCTGGCCCATGTGATGCAGGGTCTGGGGGAGGGCTTGTGAGGGCCAGAGAGCAACTTAGAAGTAAAGGAGTGGGGCTGGGAAGGTGGCTCAGTTGGTAGAGCGCTTGCCTTGCATGCCTGAGGCCCTGGGTTCGATTCCTCAGCACCACATAAGCAAAAAGAAAAAAAGCCGGAAGTGGCACTGTGGCTCAAGTGGTAGAGCGCTAGCCTTGAGCTGAGGAGCTGAGGGACAGTGCCCAGGCCCAGAATTCAGGCCTCACGACCAGACCCCCCCCCACAAAAAAAAAGAAGTAAAGGAGTGTCCAGCAGGATGGGGTCGGGCAGTCAAACACAGGAGGGAGAGTTCGTGCCCATAATCCTAGATATTCAGGAAATAAGGATCAGGTTTCAAATCCAGCCTGGGAAGGAAAGTATCTTCAAACAAAATCAGCTAGAAGTGGAGTTGTAGCTCAAGCAATGGAGCCCCAGCCTTGAGAGGAAAAAGTTGAGACAGCATCCATGCCCTGAGTTCAAGCCTCAGTATTGGGAGGGAGGAGGAAAGCGAGTAACAGAGAGAGAGAGGAGGGGGGAGGGAGGGAGGAATAGAGAGGGAGAGAGAGAGAGAGAGAGAGAGAGAGAGGGAGAGGGAGAGGGAGAGGGAGAAGGAAAGGGAGAGGGAGAGGGAGAGAGACCAAAAAAGAGAAAGAAAAAAACCAACACTTTTTGGGGTTAGAGGTGTGGTTCAATTGGTTAAGCAGTAGCCAATGAGTGAAAGCGCCAGATTGTCAGATACAGAGTTCAAGTTCTGGTCTTGGAAGAAGGAGAGGGCAAAGTAGGGAGGGAGGAAGGAAAGATGGAAGAAAGGAGAAAAAGAGAAAAAAAGAAGAGAGAAAGAGAAAAAGGAAGGAAGGAAGGAAGGAAGGAAGGAAGGAAGGAAGGAAGGAAGGAAGGAAGGAAGGAAGGAAGGAAGGAAGGCAGGAAGGAAGGAAGGAAAGAAGGAAGGTCCTCTTGACCTCCCAGAGACCTGCTTTCTTCCCTCTGTCTCTTTGAACCCAGCACGGGATTCTAAGTCTGGAACACAGACCATGAGTTCTAATTCTGGGCAGGCTCCACAGCTCCAGGAGCTGTTCCCACGGTGTAAAGCAACCACCCACTCTGATACACAAAGCAGAGGACAAGAGGACTTACCTATAAGTCTACAGGGCAAGGGCCTGTAAACTATGAGTCTCACAGCAAAACCAGCTGGCTGCTTATTTTTATAAATAAAGTTTTATCAGCACACAGCCATTCCCATTCATTTCTATATCACCTCAGGCAGCCTTTGTACTACAAGGACAGGGCAGAGAACCCCAGAGACTGAGGGCCAACAAAGTCCAAAACACCTTCTCCTGGTGCTTTGGGGAGACATGTGCCCCCCCGGCCCCCACTATGGATTATTCCTGGACTGGAGAAGAGTAGACAAAGGACATGCAAAGTGTCTTCCTGTCACTTTTTCTGTCATCTACTCGCTCTCCAGTATGACCAGGCCCCAAATGTGCCAGTCCTGCCTGGGGTGCCTCCAGTCCACCTGGGGTCCAGCTGGGTCTCGAACCTTGCAGCAGCCACGATGCCGACTCAGCACTTCGTTTCAGCTACTTTTC